AGTGTCCTCTCTCCCTCACCCATGCTGGCTTCCTTGCTGCTCCTGACCACCTGGGGTGATTCTCTCTGCCAGGAGGCCTTAGACATCTGCAGACTTCATTCCCAGACCTCCTTCAGGCCCAGTGAGACCCTCTCAGGTCCTCTAGACCCTCTCTGACCTAGACCCTCCCTGACCACCTAGATTTCCCCTGCCTCCCCTCCTCCCCCGCTTTGATTTCTCTTTGCCTCCTAGTTAACATTACATCTCACACCCACCTTACCTGCACTCTAGCCCCAACATTGGGAATGTTCTTTCTTTCTTTTTTTTTTTTTTTGGGAGTCATGGGGCTTGAACTCGGCCTGAGTGCTATCCCTCAGCTCTTCAGCTCAAGGTGCACTCTACCACTTGAGCCACAGAAGCTCCTGGCTTCTTTCTGTTTTGTTTTTTGTTTGTTTGTTTTTATTTATTTTTTGGTGCTGGTCCTGGGGCTTGAACTCAAGCCCTGGGTGCTATCCCTGAGCTTCTTTGGTTCAAGGCTCGTGCCCTACCACTTGAGCCAGGCTGGCTTCGAACCACAGTCTTCAGATCTCAGCTTCCTGAGTAGCTAGAATTACAGGCGTGAACAACCAGCACCCAGCTTTTTTATGTTTTTGTTTGCTAGTCTTCTAATATTCTAGATTATTTTACTTTATTTTATTTTTGTCAGTTGTGGGGATTGAACTCTGGACCTGGGCTCTGTCTCTCAGCTCTTCAGCTCAAGGCTAGCGCTCTACCACTTGAGCCACAGTACCACTTCTGGCTTTTTCTGCTGGAAAATGTGGTACTGAGGCATTGAACCCAGGGCCTCATGCATGTAAGGCAAGCACTCTACCACTGAGCCACCTTCCCAGCCCAAATTCTAGATGATTTTAAAATATACTAAGTATTAAAATTACTACGTTTTTTTTTTTCCTTTTTTTTTCTTTTTTTTGTCAGTCATGGGCTTGAACTCTGGGCCTGAGCGCTGTCCCTACGCTCTTCAGCTCAAGGCTAGTGCTCTACCACTTGAGCTACAATGCCACTTCCGGTTTTCTGGTGGTCTATTGGAGATAAGAGTTTCACAGACTTTCCTGCCCGGGCTGGCTTTGAACTACCATCCTCAGATCTCAGCCTCCTGAGTAGCTAGGATTACAGGCATGAGCCACTGGCTCCCGGCTCTGAGTTCTTTTTTATTTTTTAACCATTTGGTTTTTTCCCTTGCTATTGAACAAAATTTCGGCCTTTGTTTTGTTCAGGAACAGCTTAGGTGCTCAGGTGGTGCCTGGCAGGCAGCTCAGTGAGTGTCTGCTGAGCATCAAGGGAATGACCCATGGGTGACCCGGGGTGAGGGGACTTCCAAGAAGTTTCCCTTGCCCTCTCCCATCCTGTTGGGGTGGGGAAAGGGAATTGTTAAAATAACAATCGTCAGCAAGTCCTGCAAGTGAGGCTGGTGATGGCTGCGGGTTTGGAGTCCAGATCCTCAGTAGCTCTGCAGCACACACATATCACATCATACCCCAGTCCTTGTGTGCACATACACAATGAATCACATCCTAGTCCTAGTGTGCACATACACAATGCATCACACCCCAGTTCTCATGTGCACACACATCGCATCACACCCCAGTTCTCGTGTGTGCACACACATCACACCACACCCCAGTCTTCGTGTGCACACACACACATCACATTACACCCCAGTCCTCATGTGTGCATACACACAACACATCACACCTCAGTCCTTGTGTACTGCACACACAATGCATCATACCTGCAGTCCTCGTGAGCACACATACACACAATGGATCACATCCCAGTCTTGGTGTGCACACACAGAGAACTCATCACACCCCAGTCCTCATGATGCCTTCAGTGTTTCCTACCTTGCAGGGCTTCAGCTTTTAGATCACTAACAACAACAACAACAAAACAACAAACCCAGCACTGGCTGTGTAGCTTTTTTGTTCTTTATTTATTTTTCCTTTAGTGGTCCTGGGGATCAAGTCCAGGGCCCCAGGCTCCCTAAGCAATCTCAACCACCGAATAACACCTCTCAGTCCCAGGGATGTCTTTTTTTTTGGGGGGGGGGGGAGGGAAGTGATTTCCATGTCTATTTGTGTAATGAGACATGAAAATGATTGTATGTATGCATGGATGTTGGCTAATCCATTTAGTGAGTTTCACTAAGGTTGTTTGGGTTGTTTTCTTGCATGAATTTCAGAGGCCAGAAAATGCTTGGCAGTTTGCTTGCTAAGGAAAAAAAGGTGTCACACAGCCATTCTGTAACTTTGCCTTTGTAGGGAGATAAAAGCTTTTTGTTCTGAAACTCACAGGCGGGTGGTTACAAAGTTTCAGCCTTGCCATAAATTTGTCACTGCCTGTGCTTTGTAAAAGTCTTGATTGGCTAATGTGCTGGCTGGGGTTCCTGAGTCCCAGTCCTGCCCTGGAGGAAGTAGCCTGGGGCTGGGGCTGGGGCTGGGGCTGGGGCTGGGGCTGGGGTTGGGGTTGGAAAGCTCTCTGCCAACCCAAGGTTTTATGACAGGGGGATGGCCAACTTTTTCTGCCAAGGTCCAGCTAGTAAACATTTTAGGTTCTGCAGGTCTCCGTCACAATTTCTTAACCCTTTTGTTGTAGATAGACAGCATGCATACAAGGGCAACAACCAATTTGGCTGTGTTCCAGTTAAATTTTATGCGCATTGAAACTTGCATTTTCACCAGGCACTGGTGGCTCACACCTGTAATCTTACTTACTCAGGAGCCTCAGATCTGGGGATTGCAATTCAAAGTCAGCCCAGGCAGAAAAGTCTGTGAAACTCCTATCTCCAATAAAACTACCAAAAAGTCTGGAAATGGATCTGTGGATCGAGTGGTAGAGTGTTAGCCCTGAGAAAAAAAGCCCAGGGACAGTGCCTAGGCTCTGAGATCAAGCCCCAGACCTGGTACAAAAAGGAAAAAGAGAGAGACAGAGAGACACAGACAGAGACAGAGAGACAGAGAGAGAAACTTGCATTTCACACAATTTTCATGTGTCAGAAAATATTCTTGTTTGATTTTCCTTTTGTAAAATCCAATCTGAATTTGAAAGCAGGCTAGACAAAAGCAGGCGGGTAGGTCTTTTAGTAATGGACTATAATTGTCCTGTTTGTAGATTGGGCACATGAATTTTTACATTCTTAGTTTTGATCCAGCGGAGTTGGAGGATGTCTGTCATTAAGTAATTGCTTTTCTAGTTGGATTTTAGTGGCAGAGTATGAATTATTTATCATAGCTTCTTTCATGGTTCTCTATCATTCTCACTGGTCCTTGTAAGACCCCCTTTTTGTGTAGGTCAGATTCAAGCCTGTAATTCTGGCTGCTTGGGAAATAAGAATCATCAGGCATAAAAGTTCATCAGACTCTGTTTCACTCAATAGCTGAGTGTGGTAGTTTTTTGTTTTTGTTTTTTAAATCCCAGCTACACAGAAGACCAATAAATAGCTAATGCAATGACAGAAGCCTGTCATCCACAGTGACACAGGAAAGCACGCATAGGAAGATTGCAGTCCAGGTCAGACCCAGTATAAAGTGAGACCCACCTCAAAAATAATACAAATAATGCAAAAAGGGGCTAGAGGTATGGCTCAAGTGGTAGAGAATTTGCCTAGCAAGTGTAATGCCCTGAGTCTCATCCTCAGTACCATTAAAGAAGAAAGAAAGAGGAGCTGGGAAGGTGGCTCAGTGGTAGAGTGCTTGCCTTGCATGCATGAGGCCCTGGGTTTGATTCTTCAGCACCACATAAGGAGAAAAAGCCAGACGTGGTGCTGTGGCTCAAGTGGCAGAGTGCTAGCCTTGAGCTGAAGAGTTGAGGGACAGCACTCGGGCCCAGAGTTCAGGCCCCACAACTGACCAAAAAAAAAAAAAAAGAATTCAAGGACAGTGCCCAGGCTCAGAGTTCGAGCCTCAGGACTGACAAAAATAAAAGTAAATTTAAAAAAAAAAGAGAGAGATACAAATGGCCAGTCATGGTAGCACACACCTGTAATCCCAGCACTGGAGAAGCTAAGGTAGGAGGATCACACTGGTGTATACTTTCAGGTGCCCTCTTCAGCCCAATTCACCCCTATACATTCTCTTGCACACTTGCCTTCCCACCCCTTTCTATGGTCCTGAGAAAATAGCTGCATGTTACTACCAGACACTGATAGGAATTCTCTGCTAGGTGCTAGGCCAGGTTGGCGGTATCTGTGAGATTCCCTCCAGGTTTGTCTGCTCCTGTTAAATGCTATGGGTCTGTCTGGTTGATGGTCAGGGTGTAGTTAAAGCACGGGGCCTGGGAATCAGTCAGCCAAATGTTGATTTCTGGTCTGCTGCCCATGAGCATGTGGCTTTGTGCCAATTCATCCACCTCTCTGAGCCTGATTTCTTTTTATTTTTTATTTTTGGTCCGTCGTGGGGCTTGAACTCTGGGCTTGGGTGCTGTCCCTCAGCTCTTCAGCTCAAGGCGAGCGCTCTACCGCTTGAGCCACAGCGCCACTTTCGGTTTTCTAGTGGTTTATTGGAGATATGAGTTTCACGGACTTTGCTGCCTGGCCTGGCTTTGAACCACGATCCTCAGACCTCAGCCTCCTGAGTAGCTAGGATGACAGGCGTGAGCCACTGGTGCCCAGCTTCTGAGCCTAATTTCTTTATCCATCACTGGGGTTCATCATAAGACCTGGGATAGGTGTGTGGGTTTATCGAGCTCTCCTTGTAAGCCACTTAGCAGCGAGCTTGTCTCAGAGTAAGAGTTCAATGAATATTATTCTTAAAAAAATCGACAATAAGGCCGTGAAGAAGTTCTTTGGTTTGTATTTTGCAATCCTAATGACTGGAGACAGGTCTGGGGTCCCTGCAGGCCTTGAACACAGGCTTGTGAGCATGTGTCTGCCTGTGTACTGCCAAGTTGATGGTTTCCTAATAGATTCTTGCCCCTGGTCCCTGGGCCTCATATGGCTTCTAACAGTCTTGTTATTGGTCTTGCAGCCAGAGCCCAAGCCTGGAGACCTGATTGAAATTTTCCGCCCTTTCTACAGACACTGGGCCATCTACGTTGGCAATGGATATGTGATCCACTTGGCTCCCCCAAGTAAGAGCAATAGGGTCCCAGCTGTTTTGGACCCAGAGGCTGGGAACTGGTGGGGGGGTGGTGAACTGTGGCCCTCACTTTGCCCATGCTCCCCACTGGCAATTTGTTTTTAAATTTTACAAACAGAATGTGGTATGGAGCAATGTTTTTCAGATTCTGCTCCTTGGAACACCAGGTGGGTTATTTTTCTTTTCTTTTCTTTTCTTTTTGCCGGTCGTGGGGCCTGAACTCTGGGCCTAGGCTCTGTACCTCAGCTCTTCAGCTCAAGGCTAGTGCTCTACCACTTGAGCCACAGCACCACTCCTGACTTTTTCTGCTTATGTGGTGCTGAAGAATTGAACCCAGGGCCTCCTGCATGCAAGGCAAGCACTCTGTCACTGAGCCACCTTCCCAGCCCTCCCAGGTGGGTTCTTTTTTTTTTGGGTCCGGTTGTGGGGCCTAAACTCTGGGCCTGGGCACTGTCCCTCAGCTCATCAGCTCAAGGCTAGCGCTCTACTACTTGAGCCACAGCGCCACTTCTGGCTTTTTTTTTTTGCTTATGTGGTGCTGAGGAATCGAACCAGGGCCTCATGCATGCAAGGTAAGCGCTCTACCACTGAGCCACCTTCCCAGCCCTCAGGTGGGTTCTTGTAAGGGTTGAGGTGGGTATTCAAGGGCACTCAAGTTCTGCTTTTACTGTGTGTGTGTGTGTGTGTGTGTGTGTGTGTGTGTGTATTGGTTGGTTGTGAGGCTTGAACTCAGGCACTCTACTTAAGCTTTTTTGCTCAGGGCTGGCACTCTACCAATAAAGGGTTTTTTGATGGTTAATTGGAGATAAGAGTCTCACAGACTCTCCTGCCCAGACTGGCTTTGAACTGCAATCCTCAGATTTCAGCCTCCTGTTATTGGTTGTGGGACTTGAACTCTGGGCCTGGGTGCTGTCCTTCAGCTCTTCAGTTCAAGGCAAGCGCTCTACCACTTGAACCTTAGCACCACTTCTGGTTTTCTGAGTGGTTTATTGGAGATAAGAGTCTTGTGGATGGGCTGGGAAGGTAGCTCAGTGGTAGAGTGCTTGCCTTGCATGCATGAGGCCCTGGATTTGATTCCTCAGCACCATATAAGCAGAAAAAGCCGGAAGTGGTGTTGTGGCTCAAGTGGTAGAGCTCTAGCCTTGAGCTGAAGAGCTGAGGGACAGCGCCCAGGCCCAGACTTCAGGCCCCACGACCGACAACAAAAAAAAAGAAAAGAAAAAGAAAACTTAAAGACAGTCTCCAGGACCTGAGTTGAAGCTCCAGAACCAGCACATGCATGTGTATGCACGCGCACATACACACACACACACAATCACACACTACTATGAGACTGATACTGGGTGGTTCTTATCTTTTGATGTGTATTTATGGGGAGGGGAGCTTATTCCCTGCAGTCCAACTATAGATTCTGTGCCTTTAACTATGGCACTGTCACCTAGTCTGACATTTCCCAGTGTTATCATAAATTGTTTGATATACCCATGTGTCCTTTCTATGGTTGGTTACAGTATTTTTTTTTTGTATTTTCTTGGATAGACTATGTGTATTTCAGGTTAAGCATGTAGAAAAATCATTGTCCAAAGCAAGCCAGGGCAAATATTCAAAACCCTATCTGAAAGATAAAACAGAAAGGATCAGGATGTAGCTCAGTTGGCAAAGAGAACAAGAACAAAGTCCCAAGTCCTAATACCACTAGGAAAAAAGAAAAGAAAAAGAAAGAAAATGCATATTTTTCAGTATTGGCTCAGCAAGGTAGAACGACATGTGTGGACCATTCCAGGTGGTCAATGATGAAATCAGGACCAGAGCCCTGACCTTCTGAGTGTCAACCTGGGCCCTGTGCACCTTCCACCAGACTTAAGGAAGCTCTTACTCTTAGGTGTTGACTCTGCATGTGCACAATGCTGCAAGTTGGTGTGTCCTTAAATTTTGTGCCCTAAACAATTTGCTTGACTCACCCTAGGGCCAACCTTGCCACCTGCCCTATCTGAGGGCTGCAGGTAGATGGGCCTCAGGGCTCACTCTGTCTGTGAATTTAGGCCTTACAAGAGGATGCCTGTCTTTTATTTCAATGATTCTGTCAAGCACCACCAGCCCTATTACTGGAAACTCAGAATTCCCTGATTTTCTAATATCTCCAACTAACTAGAGGCAGAGGGCTTTAGTCCTCTCCAGAAAGCCAGGTAAAGCAGGATCTGGAATCTGACCTCCCTGCCATTGCTGACTGGCTGTCACAGTTGAAGACTGGTCCTGACCAGTGTGTTGGGGTGCTATTACTGTTGGGGCACTGTGTCCTGATTCTGGCAGGGCACAGTGGCCCTCTGTTAATGAACCTTCTTTTATGATGCTCCAAGTACCCATTTCAAACATCATGTGCTCTACCTTGACTGCAGGTGGGCTGGGAGGGAGACTCAGCCTTTGTTCTGACATCAGCTCTCCTTTACTGCCCTCCTGGCCCTGCTTTGGAGCCTAGACTCCTTTTCCTTTATTCCAGGTTTGTTTGTTTGTTTATCTTGTCAGTCATGGAGCCTGAACTCTGGGCCTGGGCGCTGTCCCTCAGCTCTTTAGCTCAAGGCTAGCGCTCTACCACTTGAGCCACAGACCACTCCTGGCTTTTTCTGCTTATGTGGTGCTGAAGAATTGAACCCAGGGCCTCATGCATGCAAGGCAAGCACACTATCACTGAGCCACCTTCCCAGACCTCCAGGTCTTTTTGTTTGTTTGTTTATTTATTTATTTAAAATATCTGTTCTTGCTTGTAGCCAATGGGACTTGGTCAGGGCTGCTGGCCTATCTCTCAGACTTCCTGTGCATCATGTCTAAGGAAAGCAGTCATGGCTTATATTTGCACAATCAAGAAAGATACAGGTGTCACAGGGTGCAGTAGATCAGCTTCTCTAGGGTAAAAAAAAAACCCAAAAAACAACAAACCAACAAATCAGAGAACTTTACTAATATTATTTTTTCCCCTTACACTTCTTGCTCAAGTTCATTTCTGAGTTGGTTCTTTATGCTAGGCATAAAGATGCATGAAAATCCCCAAGATCCCTTTGATGCCATTTGTATATTGCTAAGTTGGGAGATGACTAAACCCTCCAAGCTCATACACCTAGCAAAAGACAGATCCCAGATCAGGCTAAGGTTTGCCTGACTTCAAGAAGCCTAGCTTGGGGCTGGGAAAGTGGCTCAGTGGTAGAGCACTTGCCTTGCATGCATGAGGCCCTGGGTTCGATTCCTCAGCACCACATAAGCAGAAAAAAAAAAAGCCGGAAGTGACATTGTGGCTCTAGTGGTAGAGTGCTAGCTTTGAGCTTTGAGCTGAAGGACAGTGCCCAGGCCCAGAGTTCAGGCCCCATGACCGGACCCCCCCCCCAAAAAAAAAAAAGGAAGCCTAGCTTTTGACTACCACATTGGCCAAGGAAAGCCAGATTGGATCTTTGAGATAATTAATCTTTTCAACTTCATCTGATTGAGAGACACCTAGGATATTTGCAAAGCACACCTGTGTGTGTGTGTGTGTGTGTGTGTGTGTGTGTGTGTGTGTGTGTGTGTGTGTGTGTGTGTGTGTCACAGCAATGACTTGTGGATGGTACCCAGGCTGGATACCTCGCTGGAAACAGCTCTGAGCCCCAGGCTGTGCCCTGGACCAATTCCTTTGTTTTCTCTTTGTGGATGTACAGGTGAAATGGCAGGAGCTGGTGCAACCAGCATCATGTCTGCCCTGATTGAGAAAGCTATTGTGAAGAAGGAACTGCTGTGTGATGTGGCTGGGAGAGACAAGTACCAGGTCAATAACAAACACGATGACAAGTACACCCCACAGCCTCCCAGCAAAATCATCCAGCAGGCAGAGGAGCTAGTGGGGCAGGAGGTCCCCTACAAACTGACCAGCGAGAACTGTGAGCACTTTGTCAATGAGCTGCGCTATGGAGTTGCTCGCAGTGACCAGGTACGTTCTCAGATTGTGTCCTTTTTCCAGGAACCAGCCCATTCCCCCACCTGACATGGTGAGGGTGGAGACAGAGCATGAATAAACAAGAGAAAGCAGCAGAGAGATGCACTTCTTGTCTTCCAGGATGTCAGAGGAAGCACAGCTCACTGTATTTAGCACAGCAGTGGCCAGAAAAGGCAGCCCAACCACAATGACCAGGCGTGTTGTTGAGCCTTCCTTGGCCACTCACCTCTTAGATGACCATCAATGGCTCTGGACACAGGCTTTATTCTACCCCCGCTCCCCTGAAGAAAGCCTTTCAGAGTTGAAGCAATTTGTGGCCATTCATTTCCTCCAACAAATCTTGGCCTTCACATCTATATTGGTTATTTCCTGGGAGTCAGACGCAGCTTTGCTGAGTACAGAGATGGAATTTAAAGCCCAGGTGTTTGACCAGCTTCTGGGGTTTACAAACAGCACCATCATCAGCCCTGCCAAGGCCCCAGAAGTGATCCCAGAGCCCACAGGGGAATGTAGTTTGTTCATTTATGTCTGATTTTTTTTGTCATACTCTCCTTCTCCTTCTCCTTCTCCTTCTCCTCCTCCTCCTCCTCCTCCTCCTCCTCCTCCTCCTCCTCCTCCTCCTCCTCCTCCTCCTCCTCCTCCTCCTCCTCCTCCTCCTTCTCCTCCTCCTCCTCCTCCTCCTCCTCCTCCTCCTCCTCCTCCTCCTCCTCCTCCTCCTCCTCCTCCTCCTCCTCCTTCTCCTCTCCTTCTGCTTCTTCTGCTTCTTCTTTCGTCTTTCTTCTTTGTCAGTTGTGGGGCTTGAATTCAGGGCCTGGGTGCTGTCTCTAAGCACTTTTGCTCTAGGCTAGTACACTACCACTTTGAGCCACAGTGCCACTTCCAGATTGGAAATAAGAGTCATGGGGACTTGTCTGCCTGCCTGGATTGGAACTGTGATTCTCAGATCTCAGTCTCCTAAGTAGCTAGAATTATAGGTATGAGCCACCAGCCCTGGCACACCCCTTCTTTTATTTGCAATTAAAAAAAAAGCCAGTCCAGGGGCTTGAACTCAGGACGTGAGCCCTGTCCCTGAGCTTTTCTGCTCAAGGTTGGTGCTGTATCACTTCAGTCACAGTTCTACTTCCAGCTTTTTGGTGGAGAGGTAAGAGTCTCTTGGATTTGTTTTCCCTGGCTGGCTTGGAACTGTGATCTTCTCATCTCAGCTTCTTGAGTAGCTAGGATTACAGGTATAAGCCTCTGGTACCTAGTTTGGCATTTCTAATGAAGAATGATTTTTTTCCCCTTTTCACCATATTCTGATTTAAAATCTGTGATGCACATGATGTAGCCACTTTCACCGTCAGAATTCCTATAATACCAGCACAGAAGCGATCCTGGATCTATGAGTTATAAAACAAGAAGATTCCCAAGCTAGCACCAACTTTTGGACAGATTGCTTATCCCCAAGAGTTTGTACCATCAGGACTGAAACTAGATACCATTTTCTTGTATTTAATTGCCCGCTTTGACTGCATACAAAGCATGACCACCATCAATGAGGTGATTATTGTTTACCTTGACAAAGTATCTTTTGTGTGAACTAGTGGGCTCAGCATTCTTTCTCATGCTGTGAGGTTCTGTAAAGATCTAGGGCCATATTGTTTCTCCTCCATTATCTGTACCATTTTCCCTACCCTACCGCAGAGCTTAGCAAGGAAACCACTGGATACACTGACTTAATGTAGGTTTCCTAGTGAGAGTAACCCACCCCAACATGGTGACTACAAAACCCTATGTAATCCCCCCCCCTTTTTTTTTTGTTGGTTGTGAGGCTTGAACTCAGGACATATGCCCTGTTACTGACCTTTTTTGCTCAAGGTTAGTGCTCTACAACTTTGAGTCATAGCTCCACTTCCAGTTTTCTAGTGATTAACTGGAGACAAGGGTCTCATGGACTTTCCTGCTCAGGCTGGATTTGAACTGTGATCTTCAGATCTCAGCCTCCTGAGTAGCTAGGATGACAGGAGTGAGTCATCAGTGCCTGGCTTCGAATTCCCTTTAGAGGAAGGTTTAAGGCTAGCTACCAGTACCAAAGTTGCAAATAAACAAGAGAGGAAGTGAGGAAAGAGGGCATGAGATGCAGAAGATAGGTACTTTGGTTCCAGGGAGAGTTTATCAAATGACCATCCAGGTGCCTAGTATTGTTGTTTCTATATGAGATGTCCAGAATCTCTACCAGATTCTTGTAGGCAGGGCAAAGTTCTGTGAACAGAGAAAAGTAGGAAGTCCGAGAGTCTTTTAGACTCTCAGTATCTTGTTTGGGGTCTGCTATACCTTCTCCCTTTGTAGGCTCACAAATCTATTTCACTCTGTTGGGGTGAGGGAGTAGGTTCAAGGATCTGACTACAGCTCTCCCTCCAGTCCTACTTCTAGAGGTACCTGGGGTCATCAATCTGAACCTTTTGTGAAACCCTTAAGAAAAAGTTCCTGCCGGGCGCCGGTGGCTCACGCCTGTAATCCTAGCTACTCCGGAGGCTGAGATCTGAGGATCATGTTTCAAAGCCAGCCTGGGCAGGAAAAGTCCGTGAGACTCTTATCTCCAATAAACCACCAGAAAACCGGAAGTGGCACTGTAGCTCAAGTGGTAGAGTGCTAGCCTTGAGCTGAAGAGCTGAAGGACAGCGTCCAGGCCCAGAGTTTAAGCCCCACAACCGACAAACAAACAAACACAAAGGGAGCCCGGATGCTGATGGCTCACACCTGTAATCCTAGCTACTCAGAAGGCTGAGTCTGAGGATCACAGTTCAAAGCCAGCTCATGCAGGAAAGTCTGTGAGACTCTTATCTCCAATTAAATACCAGAAAACCAGAAGTAGTTCTGTTGCTCTAGTGGTAGAGTGCTTGTCTTGAACTGAAGAGCTGAGAGACAGCACCCAGGCCCAGAGTTCAAGCCCCATGACTGAAAACAAAAACAAAAAACCCCACAAAGGGAACTCAAGAGAAATCTAGGTGTGATGGTGCACACCTGTAATTCTAGTACTGAGAAGTTTTGGGCAGGAGGATCATGAGTTCAAGGTCAGCCTGGGCTCTCCAGTGAGATCTTGTGTCAGAAAATCCTTAAAATACAAAACCTGCCAGGTGCCAGTGTCTCATGCCTGCAATCTTAGCTACTCAGGAGGCTGATATCTGAGGATCATGGTTAGAAGCTAGCCTGGACAGGAAAGTCCAGGCTTATCTCCAACTAATCTCCAACTAATATCAAAAAGCCAGAAGTGGAGCTATAACCAGAAGTGGTAGAAGGCTAGTTTAGAGGGCTGGGAAGGTGGCTCAGTGGTAGAGCGCTTGCCTTGCATGCATGAGGCCCTGGGTTTGATTCCCCAGCACCACATAAGCAAAAAAGAAAAAAAAAGCCGGAAGTGGTGCTGTGGCTCAAGTGGTAGAGCGCTAGCCTTGAGCTGAAGAGCTGAGGGACAGCTCAGGGAGAGTGCTCATGCCCTAAATTCAAGCCCCAAGATGGGCATAAAACAAAACAACCCAACCCAAACCCAAAACAAAAGACAAACAAAACAACAATGGCAAAACAGAATCCCCGCAAAGAGAGCCCAGCATGACTGGCGGGATGGGGCGGGTTGTAGAGTGACTGGCGGGATGGGGCGGGTTGTAGAGTGAGGAGCTGAGTCACTGCTCTCATGGAGATCACACCTAATTGAGTTCTCAATAACATCTCCCTGACTTCACGCTTTCCCATTGGCTGGCCCAGAATCTTGACCATCCTGCCATCATTGTCCCATTCTTTCCAAGGGCGCCCTTTAAGAGTGTTACATGCTTTAAATAGCCACAGGGTGAATCCATTTTCCCTGGATTATGGTTGCATCATGTAAATTCCAGGCCAGATGGCTTCACGCTCTGAATCTTTTCCAAATTTAGCCCTCTCCTCCATACTTCCCTGCCAATATGTATTGGCCAGGGGAGGCCAAGAGGCATGGGAGGCATCCTGAGCTCAGTGATCCTGCCGAATGTACAGCGTGTTCTCAGATTCCCGATATAGAGTATGACTCAGTGCCTTCTTGATTGCAGGTCAGAGATGTCATCATGGCTGCAGGTATAACAGGACTGGGTTTGGCCACCTTGGGACTCATTGGAGCCATGTTCTCAAGAAACAAGAAGCAAAAGCAATAAATCCTGTCAAGGACATCTTTGTCGATGGGGAGGTGGGAAGGCTCTTTTGCTAAAAAGTTTCATTATGTTTTGTGATAAGCCTTATTTTCACAGAATAAAATAAAGCACAATAAGAGAGGCCTTTATTAGGGGAAATGCAGCACAAACTGCCTGGTGTGATGTTTGTGGAGGGAACTAGACTGTGTACCTGGTGACCACTCCCTCCCCCGCCCCCCCCCCCTGCAACCTCTTACTAGTTTGTGTCCTTTGTACTGCAGAAAACAGAGTCTAACTCCAGTCATCTCAAATTATCTTAAGACTGTTCTGGTTATCAGGATATGTCTGGGCTGACCAGGGAGACAGGCAGTCCATGTATATGGAAAAAGAAACCATCAGATAACAAGGGCTGTTGGCATGGAACTTAATCCATCAAGGTGCCTGAGATTCTAAAGTTCATGTGTGTAGATGTTCAGTGGAGTTGGGGAAAAAAAATCCTCTGCCATAAACAAATTTAGTATTTGCTTTGGCCAAACTTTCTAAAAAGTTTGCTAATCCATGTCTGTCTTCTGCCTTATATGTTCCCTCTCTTCATGCTGCTTCTTTACCACCTCTATGTGCTACAACTCCATGTCTCTGAACCCACGTTCCCACCTGTTCTCAACTCCATCCTCTCTTTGTCCTTAACTCTATTTCTGAGATTTTTTTTTTTTTTTTTGCTAGAGCACCAGGAATTTATAAAACACTTCCCATCCCCCAAGCACACCAAGCAGGCCTGTTCTCCATACAGGACCCCCACACCTGGCAGGGCAGTCAGAGCCAGGCTGGGGGCACAAGGGACGGGGTAACAGAGGTCAGAGGCTACTGGCTGGAAGTCCTGGATCCCCCATATAAAGGGAGGGAATAGAAGGGCTAGAGGGGGAGAAAGGGGTCAAGTGGAGAGCAGGCTGGGGGAGGGAGACCACAAGACACGCATAACTAAAAGCATAAAACCAGCCCTTGAGATGAAGCTTGTCCTGCGTAGTGGACCCACACATGTGCGTGCACACACACACACACACACACACACACACACACACATACATGCACAAGACAAAATGCTCTTAGGACAAGGGGCTGAGTCCCAAAGGACACCCCCTCCCATCAGAGGTAAAAATTGGGAGGGATCAAACCAAGGCTGTCAGGAAGCCAATGCTTTACCAGCAGGGCAAGTTTGGGGGTTGTTTGTGTGTTTTTTTTTTTCCTCTTCAAAGGGGAAGTTTAAAAATCTACAACAAATCATGCCGTATACATTAAGAGAGATTAAAAACCGGTAGGCTATCCCCTCCTCACCTGAGCCCCCCCCCCCCACACACACAAGCTAAACAATGAATAAAGAAACATGCCCAGGTGAGGTCTCCCCACCCAGATACAAGTCCCAGAGTGGGAAGCTATGTACAAGGACAGTCTGGGCAGTCCCAGCTGCCAGGATTGATCTGTGAGAGCTGGGCACGGAGGACACCAGGGTAAGAACCCACCCAGGGGAAGGACAGGTTTCCAAGGACAAATTTTAAAAATATCAAAGATGGGAGCAGATGGTGTGGGAGATGTTGGGGGCCCTGGGCGGCAGCAGACAGGGCACCGGGGAACTGTCATCACTGCTGCTCCAGGTAGGCAGACAAGAGCAGCCCTGGTGGCCGGAAGTCCAGATGCCGGTTGCTGACCTTCATGTGTCGCCGGCCCTCCAGGTCAGCACTGGCTGAGATGAGGTCCATGTCCTGGCAGACGGCACGGAGCAGGAGCCTCTCAAAGCTGCTGTCCAGCATGGCCGTGTATACAGCCTGGGGGACACAGAGAAGGCCGTCAGCAGCCTCCTCCCACTCTCCAGTGTCTCCCTGGGGAAGCGGATCTCCCTCGGTGTGTGTGCTGGGTCCCCCCCGCGGCCCGGCCCTCCTCCTGGGCTCGCGCTGGCCCTCTCGTCCTGCTCTCCCCTGAGCAGTGGGTTCACGAAGTCAGGCCTCCACATGGATGGCAAAGATGCCCGGGGCTGCAGGGGGTGCAGGTCCCCGTCCTCCAGACCCGGTGGACCTCCATCTGCTGCCATCGGGTCAGGAGGTGCTGAGCGTTCTCCAAGCGCTGCAGGCTTCTCCGCCGCTTGGCTTTGGGCACAAGGTCTGAATTCCGCACAGCCTGGTTGATAGCTCGTTGCTTGCGCCTGGAGTTTGCTGGACGTCTCTTCACCTGGGAGCTGGTTAGTGGGGGCAGGCAGCCTCCGCGGGCCGCCCGGGCCGGCCCCGCCGCCGCCTCCGGGCCGCCCTCCGGTCCTCCGGGGCGATCATGGCGCGGGCAGCCGCGACGCTGCACCCGGCTGGGCCTGCTGCGCCCGGCCTATCTCTGAGAATCTTGATTGGCTCAGTGTACCACCTGGCTCAGCCTACCCAGTGGCTGCCTTTGAGGGAGGTGACTTCCATTAGGCCAATCAGCTGTGCCTTTGGCCCAGCCTCCTGGTGCAAAAGTTGCCACTTAGTGTTTCCTTCCTTTCTCCTCCATTTTCCTAAACCCCAGAGGGAAGAAGTGCCAGGAGGAACTGGGCCCCCTCCACCTGCGTCTCATCAAGCCGTTCACCTCACTCTCTTCCCCAGGCCTCTCTCCACTGGGAGCACAGAGCTCCCCGTGCCTCTTTTCCTCCATCTTCCTCTTACTATTACCTCCCTCTTGACCCCGGACTCCCGATCTCCAGGCAGGAGGCTCTTTGCCATTTGATGACTGAGTCCATCCACCACCCAAAAGGTAACCAGCTGTGGTCTGTAGTGGAGGGACCCCAACACAGACCGGAGGACTCCTGAGAAGTCCCCCACTCCCTGTCTATAGGATCCCCCGAGCCTCCCAAGAGCCTCTCACACTTTGCTGACCCCTTGACACCTTTTAAGACTTTGGGAGCTGGGCGCCGGTGGCTCACGCCTGTAATCCTAGCTAATCAGGAGGCTAAGATCTGAGGATCAAGGTTCAAAGCCAGTCTGGGCAGGAAAGTCTGTGAGACTCTTATCTCCAATTAACTACCAGAAAACCAGAAGTGGCGCCTGTGGCTCAAGCGGTAGAGCACTAGCCTTGAGCTGAAGAGCTGACAAAAGAAAAAAGAGAAGAAGAAAAAAAAAGACTCTGGGGATGCCCTCTTCTATTTATTTTATTATTTTGAATTTATTTTATTTTTGTCGGTCGTGGGGCCTGAACTCTGGGCCTGGGCACTGTCCCTCAGCTCTTCAGCTCAAGGCTAGCGCTCTACCACTTGAGCCACAGTACTACTTCCGGCTTTTTCTGCTTATGTGGTGCTGAGGAATCGAACCCAGGGCCTCATGCATACAAGGTAAGCACTCTACCACTGAGCCACCTTCCCAGCCCGCCTTCTCCTAATTATTGGGGTCTGTTCATTTGCCTTCCCAAAGCGACAGGACAGGCCACTCCATAGTCCTACCAAATTTTCCAAAATGCACTCTAAATTGTCTGTTCCCAAAGACATCCCATTGTCTTGCTTGTGGTCTAATCTTAAGGCTCTCAGGCTGATTGATTTGCAGTAAAAACAAAAACAAAACAAAAAGAACCTCACATGTTTGTCTACTGCAATCTGGCCTCACTATCATTTAAACAATGGTCACCCTTGGCCTAGATTTGGAAACTTTGGTTTTAAAATTCTTACTGATTTAACCAATTCACCAATAAAACCGCAATAGGTCCCAGGTCCCCTATACCCCAGCTCCCACCTCCCCAGACCCAAGGCTTCTTCATTAACCTCTGCCTCCTTGCTCAGACCTCATACAAACCCAACTCCTGTCCCACCTCTTTATAGTTTCCAAGCTCCCAGGAAGGCTGTGCCCCTTGCTGCTCTATCTCAACAGTCCTTGCCTGTGGAAGATCGAGTCCAGCCTGTTTCCTTCCTTTCTCCTCCATTTCCTAAGAATAACAATGTGAGATTTTGATTTTTCTGTGTGTTTCTATACATCTTTACATACTCTTCTCTGCTGGGTGCAGGCTATGGAGATCACATGATTTTAATCTGTGGTGGGGAGATTTCCCTCAGCAGTTAGCACATACAGTGGAGGGTAGAGAGTGGGGGTAGAGGGTGGGGGGTGGGGGGGAGGCCCTGGACAGGGCCCAAAGGCCCTGTCAGTTGAAGTGATTTTTTTTTTTTAAAGCCTGAAAGAGTGGAGCCACAGAGAGCTGCCTCACCCCTTTGCCTTCAGGGTCCCGGCTGGGTCTACTGATGCCTCTGTTGTGTGATCCAGCAGGCAGAAATTGTTGCCTCCAATATCTCAGCCACCTGTACTGGCAGCCTTTGGGGTTAAGTGACTCAGAAATCCTTAAGCCTTGACTGGTTCCTAGCCTCCAAATCTCATGGTTGTGTCCACCTGAAAAAGCCTGTTTAGCCACAAGCTGCTTACAATCAGCCCATTAAGCGAGTCACTCTGTGGTCAGGCCCATTTCCCAGTGGAGGCTAAGGTGTCATGGAAATGTGAACAGACTATGGACAAACCAAGCAAAAGAGTTGGAATAGTAGAAGTAACTCAGGTTTATTTCATGCCAGATGTTGGTGGACAGAGAGGAGTTCCTTTCCAATGAGAGAGCATTGGTGTAAACACAGGGATTTAATAGGCAAGTTTAAGTTGGGGGGGTGCAGATGTGGGGCAGTCAAGTAGGCTGCAGTTGGGACAGGGGTTTACAGGATACAGGTGCAGGGCAGCCATGTAGGCTGTGGCTGGATCAACAATCACAGTTTCTGGGAAATCACGTCACACTCTGGGTCAAAAGACAACAGCAGGGCTGAGAGCGAGTGGCGCATGCCTGTAATCCTAGTTCTTCAGGAGGTTGAGATCGGAGAATTATGGTTTGAAGCTAGCCTGGGCAGGAAAGCACTTGAGACTCATCTCCAAATTAAACACCAAACAAGCTGAAGCAGAGCTGTGACTCAAGTGGTAGAGCACTAGCCTTAAGCAAAAATGCTCAGGGACAGTGCCCAGGCCCTGAGTTCAAGCTCCAGGACTGGCATGTGTGCTTGCACACACAAACACACATTCAGTAGGAATTTACAGCCACCGGAGGTTCAGTTTTACAACCATGATATCTGGAGTTCAAGAGATAACAGTAGCTTTTACTACTATGGCAGTTTCTCATCATTTTCTGTATTGTATT